ATTTTCAGTGGGAATTTTCGCAAATTCAAAACATTCCTTTACCTAAATGTGGCAGTGTTCTAATTTTTCCAAATTGGAATTAGTGGATGCTTGCGCCGGTGTTTACATCAGCACTCAATCAGGCACCTTACATAAGATTTGCAAGTTGGTTCCCAATGTTTAATTTGGATCAATAGTAATTCTGCCGATGATGTATCTAATAGTTTGACCAACTCTGCCGGTTAGCCTTTTCCGGTTATCATTTCAGTGATGCGAATAATTGACACAACTAAAAAGGTATCCATCGTAATTTGCTGAATCTATATTCATCGAGATAATAGTGTTAAATGAGTTTCGGTGTACGTGATCAATGCGGAGTGGCACAGGTTCCTTTATCACACTGTGGATATTTCGAATACACCCCGCATTTCGTTTAACACCACAATATGGCAGGGTAATTGTGTCACATTCTAACAGTTCCGGTTACTCCGTGCGTGCTGCGTAGTGTCAGTATAGAAAACCGCAATCATAAGATACCCAGCCACTGTTTTAGCGTCAGATGCCATGAGATAGCCATAAAAGTCACAATCCCTAAATTTAACCGTCGGCGAAATTAATCCTTGCGAAATAGCTTCTCACTACTGTCTTCCACATTAATTATAATAAAGCCCTCTAGACACGAACTTCGTCTATTTCACATAAAATACTACGTGCACTTTTGTTCTACAGCAAATCCTGAGGACGGCATTTCTTGAGATTTTGCTCTTTTTTCCTGTTCGTAATTCTTCTCCGATTTGGGGTATACCAGTTAGGCTTTGAACTTATGGCTATAGAGACAAAAGGGAGTAAAAATGAATGAACGGCATTCTACAGTGGCAGCCTGCGCTTTCAGTAGGCACGTACGCCCGATAAGGTGGAAGTTAGTAGCATCTCTAACATCAAGACCGACGTTATTTCACAGCCGTTACTGAGGCCCACCAGAAACCTACGGAGCACATAGCTTGCCTTTAACGTTTGCGTTTGCCTTTCACTGCTGTTATCCTGTTTTTTTTCCCATCATTTTAGACTGGCCCAAATAAAACACTAACTATCAGTCCGTACTCGTGGAATTTGGTAATTTCACTTGCCCCCATTTCTTCGTTTCCTGATTTTTCACTTAACCTGTTCATTCGATTCAACTATCCATTCATTTATACAAACTATCAATTGAAGGGCGTCTGTTAACTAAAATGTTTCGAGGGGTGCGCTGTAGGTTGCTTACGTTCTGTTGCACGCTTTGTCATATACTACCTGGCTTAGTTTTTTTACTCTGCATGCGGGCATGTTTCAGCTTTACT